CATCCAGAAGCAAAACAGATTATAGCAATGCCACAACGCGGTGCAGCTTTGCAGTAACAGCTTTTGCACCTTCGGGTGCACGCTGGCAACTCCAAACACATCACGCTCTGTGAAAAGCAGAAATTAAGTCAGCTACAAGAACTCCTTCCCCACCTCTAATGCAGAAATTAAGTGTAAATTCCCAGTTTCCTTTCTGTGGCTAATCCTCCAGATTTATTTGAGAAGATGTAATGTTAGAGGCACATTTATTTTCATGTTTGGAATTTCTAAATTGGTATAAACCAGAACTTCAAAGTAACTCAGTTCCTATAAAACCCAATCCCACGGAGATGCCACAGTATATTTGGACAGTAAGTAGATGCTTTGTCATATTCCCACGTGTATATGAGGTTTTTTTCTTTGGGAACATTTTCTGCCTAGTTTCAAACCACATTTCTATGCCCAGGCATACATATATACTGAGATTGTTTATACAGCCTACCCAAGGAGTTCGTTTTATTTAACAACCCGGTATAGTAAAGCTCACTGGTGGGTATCTCATCATTACACCACAAAATACTGTGCTCAACGAGCATGCAGGATCTGACACGAAGCCACAAGAGCCAGAAACTTGAGAATTAACGCTGAAACGCATGATTATCCCATGCCGCCGTGCCTACGTTTTTCAGCATAGGAAACAAAACGGATTTTCAGCCTTTTTTGAGTTGCAGACCCCAAAACATTTCCCAAGAGAAAAGCAGATCCTTGGCAAGCAAATCTAAGTCTAATGAATAAAAGTCTACTTTCCCTAGTTACCTCTCTGGGACTTTTTAGAAAGACAGCATGGGGCTCGACATAGAAACCACAGCAGACAAGGAGTCGGGCGCAGCTCGAGTGTGGGATGGGGTCACCAGCTCAGCATGTCCTCAAGCATGCTTGTTCATGACATGGTGCATTTTGTTTTGTTTTAAACTCAGACCCCCACATCAGCCACCGCTCAGACACCCAGAGCAGGGAGGTTTGCAGAGGTGCCTGGACATCCACATTCTCTCGTCCTCGTGCTGCAGCTGGGGCTGGAGAGCAGGGCTGGGACCCCCTGGCAGCCATCCTCATTGTTGGCCAAAAAGGCAACTGCTGGTTGGGGCAGCACAAAGGTGCCTGCACACCAAGTTCAGAGATGGGGAGGTGGTGAGAGTGCTGGAGGGGGTTCACTCCGCAGGGACGTGGCTGTGATGCAGCGTGGCTGCCTGCACCACGGGAACAGCCAGACCTTTACATTCAGTGGCACTGGGGGCGAAGGTGCTGGGACACCCACACACTCCTCCCAGGCAAACAGGCAGGGGCACAGGGTCCTGTCTGCTCAGGTTTTGCAAGGGCTCTGGATACCACAGCTGCACCACGCTCCAGCCATGCAGCCTACATGACCTTCAAACCTACTGGGCCTTAATCCTGTTGGGGCAGAACAGTTCAAATATGAAGTAAACCCACTCAGTGTCCTTGGGATTTTATAAGCTCTGTGAGCGCATTGCTGCCAACGATGTTGAAGACAGTCTGCTACAGAGAGCTCATACTCCTTTTCATTCCTGGGGGCTCGAGTCCAAATTCCACCCAGGCTTCGAGTGGGCAAAACGCAGCAGTGACTCCATGCAAGTATTTCATTTTAGCTGCAGGAGTTACAAAGACAGCCCAGTATTTGACACAAAATTCATTATAAAAAGCTATTTCTGTTGAGGGAAGCAATCCTAGAGCTCACCCACTCACTCTCAGTACAAGAACCCAATCAAACTAAATCCTTCCCCAGTACATCCTTCTTCCCCTAAGCTGCTACTGCAAATTCACCTCCTTGGTAAGTGACTTTTCAGCAGTACTCAAGGAGAACAACCAACCAGCCTCCATTCCTGACCCAGACCATCCTCCTCTGCACATTTTTGCCACATCTCTCAAAGCTCTTAAACATGTGCTTAATGGCAAGTTAGTGCTTCCACCAAAGCGATGGGCCCATTCCCAGGCTGAGCTGGTGACTGCCCTTGCCCAGGCTCGGGGACATAGGCCAACCAGCCACCCAGGCTCCCCTGCCAGCCAGAGGAGACCCAGCCACCCTCTGCAGCCCCTGCACGGCCAGTCCCAAGTGGTCACCGTGAGAGCAGAACAAATGACTGCCACCACATTGACCACAACTGCCTCAGTGCTCCTTGCACTGGGGCAAAGCCTCTCCTACCAGTGCCAGCTTCCCGTCATGACGCCGAGGGGTAACAAGAATGCACCCTCACCAGCAAGCACTGCCACAGTGGTGCCATGGGGACAGTGGCATGCTGAGAGCACCCTCCTGAAACCCATCACTAGCAGCGAGTGCTGCAGCTCCCTGGCTGAGTCACAACCGAGTGCTGCAGGAGAGGAGCATTCAATTAGACAGAAGAGCACACAAGGGGGCAATGATTTTCCTTTCACACCACATTACGCCTAACAGCCTGCGCTCCCTGTTTGTAACAACCAACTACTTCATCCCAGCAAGCTCAGAATGAATCAGGCTGCCATTAGGTTTTTATTTTTTCTTCCAGAAGGAGCTTAAAACCCAACCACCCAGTTCACAGGCAGAACCAATAAAGCACACTTTTGATAATACCAGAGCAACCATCAGTGATGCATCGGCTGAAGACAACCAGGAAACCCACTAGCGGGTAGAGAAGTGGAGCTGAGAATGGGAAGGCAGCTACATGCTGATCCGCTCCACCAAAGCAGCTGCTGCTTTAATACATTTTCCTGCTGCGTTCCCAGGGCTGGACACAAAATGTATTAGAGTATTTCATTGTCCTGAAGGTGGAAACTGATGTTAGGTTTTCGCAGCACAAAGAAACACAGTATTACAACTCTTCTCTTGACACTGCCACTCTGGGACTTGGAAACGAAACAGCTTGTTAACTTGCTGGCAATTCTAATGATTAAGTAAAAAGCAAAAAACCCGAAAGGCTCTCCTTATGACTGGTAGGAAGGCTTCCCAGCAGCCTTGGTCAGCGGTTTTAGAGGAATACACTTCAAATAAATGGGAAGCATAGAAATATTAGGCATGAACAAATATTAATGGTATGCTTAATTTATATCCTGCTGTACTTAACATCAAAGGATCTCAAAGCAGCTTTACAAATGCAATCTCACGCTACATGTGTTTCTGAATAATAGGAATAAGTGCAATGCAGCAAATCAGGGAACTGAGGCATCTAGGGTTGAAGGACGGGTTCAAGGTCAGCAACACAGCAGCAGTGTCAGTCAGGACTAGAATGCAGTTTTCCCCATCCAGCCATTCTGCTGTCTCATGTAAACAGGTTTTCTCACAGCCTTGTTTCACTGCAGTGGTAAATACAGAGGGTTTCCACTGACTCCAACAGCACTGGTGAGGCTCCTCAAACCTCGTATCGCCTATCGCTCACCCCTGTCCTCCACAGGCTGCCTTTGTGGCATCAGCTGACAACACACTTCTGGTCACCTTCCTCACCTTACCAGGAGGATGCAGAAATAAGGACCCCAAGCACGCTCCACAGCAGAGCAGCATGATGGGCCAGACCCAAAGACGGAGTGAAATCTCACTTCTGCACTGAGTCTCCCTGTAGCCCTTAGGGAATTAGCTGTCCAAATAGCTTACTGGATATAGCACTTAGTATCTTCAACGCAAACAGACCGGTGTTAGTCATGATTATTTTCCTTAGGTTCTTGGGTGTCCTTCTGCCATTGACCTGCACTCGCAGCTAGGCTGGTAACTCAAAGCTCCTTCCAGAACCCCCAGACACAATGTCTCCCCTTGACCTGCCTGGTAGAAACAGATCACCCTGCCAGGGCTGAGGGCTAACTTGCAGAGTGCTGAGCTTCAGTCACAGCCAACAAGACCTGCGGGTGCCCCCCTGTCCTGCAAACAGCATCCCTGACTCCTCTGAGAGCCATCACTATGCCAAGACTTCAGGACTGGGCACCCCTTGTTTAACGCCCCAAGTCTTTGTGGAGTTAACTCAAGAGCCAGGACAACTACCAGATTTCCTGGCTGTCAGGCAGCTTGCACTTTGCCACTGGGGGAAAAACTATTCAACTTTGCTGGAGTAGGTCTATGAACCACTGCATTAAGGCTATGTATTTGAACACAGTTTAGAGATGCCACACAGAGCACTCGGGTTACCATGGTAAACCTTTCTCTGTATCACTGCCACTGCACAGGGAAGTCTGAGCCCAAACGCTCTGTCTCGCCTTTGAAACCAAACAGATGTTTTTACGATCTTTGACGGAGTTGAGTTATGCCTCCTTCCCAGAGGAAAGGAAAAATGCAGAGCTGAAGCAGCCCCTTTTCCCTTCTTTTTTTCCTCCCCCCAAGCACCGCATATCTTCAGCGAAACGGAAAAGCGGCGCCTTTATCTCACGTTTACGGTCACTTGGTAACAAACGGCGACAATGGCAAAACTTCTGCCCTGAACGCGGCAGAACAAGGCAGCCAGTGAATAAAGCAGCCGATGTGTGCGCGTCCGGCCGCGGCGGGGTCCCACGCGGGGTGCGCCGAGCGGGAGACGTCCCGCGAGTGACCGGGAACGGGGCATGGGAACAACGGCGGCCCCGGCGGGGCGGGGGAGGCTCCCCCACAGCGCACACACACACACACACACACACACACACACACACACGCATACACACACACACACACATACACACACACACACACACATACACACACACACACACACACACACGTTCTGTGCTCCGTACGAGCCCGCCGCCCGGCTTTGACGATGTGACCGGCGTGACACGGCTCCCGCGCGAGCACTGACCGGCGCGGGGCACGGAGAGAGCGGAGCGGGGAGCCAAGAGAGCGAAGCGCGGGGTAGGGGACCGGAGCGCACTCGGTTGCGGGAGGCGCTGCCTCCCGGGGAAGCGGCGCGGAAGCAGCAGGAACGGGACGGGACAGGACGGGACGGGGCCGCTGTCCCCCTCTGTCTCCCCGCCCGGGACGCCCCGTCCCCCCTTCCCCCGCCTGCAGGTGCCCGTACCTGTATGTTCCTCTTCTCGCAGGCCGGGCCGGTTCCCTGCACCACGCTGTCCAGCACGGTGACCATGCCGGCGGCGGGGCTGACGAAGCAGGAGTTGCGGGCAGCCCGGATCGTCTCCTCGATTTCGGCGAAGCGGAAGACGCAGAGCGCGGACTGAGGCCGCCCCCCGCCGCCGCCGGCCCCGGCCCGCTCGAAGACACCGAAGAGCAGCTCCTCGGGGGGCGGCGGGGCCGGGCCCGGGTCCGCGGGGCTGCTCCAGGCAGCCCGCGCCGGGAAGACGGAGACGAGGCGGGTGAAGGCGTCGCTGGCGCCGCCGCAGCGCAGCCCCAGCTGGATGTAGGACTCGGTCAGCTTCTTGGTCTCGCCGCTGCCGTTGAGGGTGGTCTCGGCCGCCTCGCCCAGGCAGATGCGGGCCAGGAGGCTGTGCGAGGGGCTCTCCTTGTCGCCCGCGTTTGCCTCGCTGTTGAGCGCCAGGTACGCGTAGGGGCGCCGGGCGGGCGGCGCGGCCCCGCGCTGCAGGAAGGCGCGGACGAAGCTTAGCTTGTGCCGCGCCTTGGCGCCCTGCTTGATCTTGAAGATGTTGTCGTCGGAGGGGTTGATGTCGAAGGTGAAGAGCTTGGCCAGGTCGCCGCGGGCGTTGAGGGCACGGATGGCGATTTCGGGCGTGTTCTCGAAGCGGTGGTCCTCCAAGCTGCGGTTGCGGGGGAAGAAGGGGCTGCCGAAGCCGGTGTAGGTAGCGGCTACCAGCAGCCGCGCCCCGCCGCCGCCGCCGCGGCGCAGCACCAGCCCCACGGTGGAGGCGTTGGGGTGGTTGGCAGCCACGTTCAGCATGCTGGGGAAGACGGTGACCGGGTCGCTGCCGCCCGGCGGGAAGCGCACGGCCACCGCCGAGATGTTGGCCATGCTGCGCAGCTGGCAGAGGCCCTGGTAGATGGAGCCGCAGACGACGAGGACGCCCTGCTCGGGATCGGGCTGCAGGATCTTGTTGTAGTTGTTGGTGAGCACCTTGGGGTGCTCGCAGGAGGCCTGCGGCAGTTGCGGTGCGTGGCAGAGCGGGCTGTCCAGCACCGGCCCCACCGCCGCCTCCGCCTCCAGCGCCAGCTCGCCCCCCGACAGCTGGAAGAGCCGGTTCACGGCAGCCAGGTAGACGCGGGAGCCGGGGCCGTCCAAGGCGAAGTTGTTGGTGGGGGTGGGCGAGAGGAACTTGCGCTGCACCTCCAGGCCGGCGGCGCGGCCGGGCAGCAGCGGCAGCAGTAGCAGCAGCGGCAGCAGTGCAGGGGGCCGCGGCTCAGCGCCGGGAGCCGGAGCCATCCCGCCGCCCGCGCCGCAGAGTGCATGAGCCCTTCGCCGAGCGGCGGGAGGGGCCGGGCCGCGGGGCCGCTTCCTGCGGAGGCAGCGCCCGCCGCCGAGCGACGCCCGCGGGAAGTGGCGGCCGCGGCGGGTGCGCGGCGGGGGGCGGCGGGGCGCGATCGCGACCGCGCCTCCCTCCCTCCCTCCGCCCGCCCACCCCCGCCCTCTCGCCGGTACTCGCTGGGTCCCGGTGCGGGCCCGTCGTGCTAGCGCGGGGAACTGACCGCGCACCGGGCAGCACCGGGCAGGGCGGCGGTCCCCGCCTCGGCCGCGCCTCCTGCGGGTTTTCCACCGCCTCCTTCGCGTTTCCGCGCAGAACGGGCCGGCGGGAGGAGGCGCGGCGGGGCGGGGGTGGGCTGGACAGGGGACAGGACACACCTTTCCAGCGGCGGTACAGCACAGCCAGCCGGAGCGGGGAGACCCGCAGCGCCGGAGCAGGCAGCACGTACAAAGGGCAAACAGGCAAAGCACGTAAAGGGGGTGTCCCGGGGGTGTCCCCCCGCCTTTCCCCCAGCACGGACACCGCCGGGGGCTCCCGGGCCCGTCCCGTCCCCTCTGGGCGGCCGCGCTCGCAGCGGGATGCGCGTTTGAAGGTAGCGGGGTATGTCGGCGGTGTCTGCTCGGCCCCAGGTTCGCCCCGGCCTCGCCGCCCTCCCGGGGGACAGCGACAGCTCGCCAGGGAACGGGGCGGCGGCAAAGCGCGGCCGATGCCGGGCTCCACCCCTAGAGCAGCTCTGCCAAAAGCGCGGCTCACCCGAGGACCGTGCATCTCCTCTGCCCTCCAACGGGCTCTTTTTATACTGTGGAGGGACAGAGGGAAAAAAAAGAGGAAAAAAAAAAAAAGACATAAAGAAGCGATGATCTTCCCAAATTCCACCTGCGGGAATCCACCGCGGGGAGAACCGCCCAAAAGCGCGGAGCCGCTGATCCACCCGCCCTTTCGGCTTGGGAACGCTCCACCTGTCAGGGTAAAGGTGTCAGTTCACATCAGCTGCAGCTCTTCCCTCCTCGGCGGGCATGGGAACGTACTCCCTCGTCATGGAGGGGAACGCGCTGAGAGGCTGAGGAGCCCTGCAGGGTGAGATGATACAGAGAAAGTGAGTTTCATCCTGGCGCAGGACACAGCCCCGGGCCACGCTCCCTGCAGCGGGTGCTTTGCCTTACAGACTAAGCAAAGAGCCCTGAGCTCTTTGCCCAGACCAGCCCTCACCTCCTGCCACTCTATCGTAACAGAGAGCACAGCAGTAGCCTCCGAGTGCACCCAGGAGGAACCCGAGCCCTTGGACACCGGGGGCACGGGAGGGCTCCAGCACACAGCAGATAACCCTGGTCATGTGCTTTCAGTACCGTGTGGATGCTTTAAGCTGAAGCAATGGCAGAGCAGGCAGCCAAGTGAAGCGGTGGTAGGATATGGGTACAACATCTTTGTCTCAAGCCTCAGTTTCCACTAACAGCAGAGACTGGGCTGGAGCACCCACATGGTGGAGGAAGGCAAAGGAGAAGCTCGCGGGTTTGATTTCATCATGCGGCTGAGGAAATGCATCTGTATAATGACACAGGTCCCCTTGTAAAGGCTGAGCCTGGAGACACCTTGCCATCCACAAACAGCCAGCAGCATTTAAAATAAGGGTGGGAAATTGAGCCTGGTGTTTGGTCATGACTCCTGGAAACACTCCACAGGCAAGCCCTGGAACACTGTCCTGCTTCCTGTGCCCCCGCTGTGCCTTACTGCCGTGCCTTTTCCCGTGGCATGGATCTTTGTCCATACAAAAACATGCTAGCGAGGTTGATGGTTGATGAGGATTCTGCACGAGTTCTGTTCTGGAGAGAAAAAATCCTCTTGTCTAATCTCATTTCTACACCTGCCAATTTCCCTGTCCCCCTTGCTGATTCCTCTCCCTCTTCCGATCACTAATTAATACACAACTACCTTGGCCACGCCATGTCCACCAAAAACCTGTGCTGCGTTAAATCCTGGGCTCTCGTGCTATGTCACTCATTGTCTGTGCTGATCATACCCTTAATTAATAGACTTACTGGCTGGGTTCAAATGTGGGACTCCCGGTTGTTGGGGTTTTTAAACTACAAATTAGCAATTTTTAAACTTGATCATGTCTTTAATTGCGTAGAAATAAACCTCCATGATCCCAAACCCTTAATCTGCCTATTTTAGGATTTCTTATTGCTGCTTACCCTGATAGCTGAGCATCTTCCATGTGAAATCAGCCTTTTAAGGCACATCAAATTAGCTTCCAGCTTATAGTGAGTTAAAAAAAAAAAAAATTAGGCCAAAGAACATAGAAAAATGTGACATACCCAAAAGTACCCAGTGCTTTGTCAGAGGAAATCCCCAAGGAGCTCTGACTCCCATTTCCTATGCCCACAGTTATCTGCACTGATACAATTAAAGGCAAAATATTTGTGGTATTGAAGGATTATGTGACAAAGATTTTACTGCTGTTGTCGTTAGGAAACAATTCTCTGGTAAGATGCTTTGAAGCAAATATTTTCCAGAAATTATTCCCCACCCCTATTATCTGGGCTGTTAGAAGCGCCAATGAGTATTTCAGGGTAATGCTCCTAATGGAGTAGTGGCGGGTTTTTAATCTCTCATACACAGATCTCACCATTATTTTTTGTTCAGGAATTTTAAAAAAAGGTCAAAATTAAACCACACGCCTCTTGCCATAGACCATCACCCCATGCCAGAATCCCTTCCCATTCGGCTCTTCAGCAGGTTTAAAGCTAACAGCCTTTCAGACGTCTCTGTGGGGGAGAGGGGCTGTGTGCACAAGAACTCAAAAACATTTTAATTATTAATAAATATATTTACACGAGAACAGTTTCCCTTTAGGGGAAACATGAGTTACTCATGCAATTACTCAGGTTATATTGATTCAACACTGTCAAAACCCAGGATCTAATCGCTTTAATACAGGGAGCATAAACATCTGTTTATTTAGCGGGGTTTATCTGCAAGGTACCCACAGGAAAGGGCTCTGTGCAGTGGCAAGGGAGCTCACCCCGGCGCCGGAGGTGGCCGGGTTCGGCTCGGCAGCACTCAGCGCCCACCGGAGGGGAGGTGCTGCCTGCGGGGTGGGCGTGCGGGGCGCTGCTCGGGAGTGGGTACCTGGGAGACGGGCAGCGTGCTCCATGTCTTTGCTGGTGACGCTGAGCGCATCGGGAAGGCTGGTGTATGGAGCACTGCTCCTCTCTGCCCCGCACGGCCACCCTGCAGAGATGAGATGCGGTGAACCAGGCACTGCAGACCAGCTTCTGGGCACTCACCAGAGGAAAAGTCACCCCAGGGCAGCAGCAGGTCGCAAGGTGCCTCTGCTCTGACGAAGGCAGCCAGTCCTCCTCTTTCCCTCCCCTTCACTCTTCACCTCTAAGTGGGCTATTTGGGTCATTTTCTGTATGATTGCAGGGCAGGTTGGCAGGAGACCTCAAGGTGCATTCACAAATGCTTAGCAGACACGTGTTTTGAATTATTTCGGCGGCTCGCTTTCCTTCTCAGAAACCTGGGCTGATGAAAAGTGGCCATTGAGTACTTCTACTGGATCAGAGCAGGGGTCCATCTCCTGCCTTTTCCCCATGCTGAGAAAGACAGCTAGCAGTTATCTGAGAGAAGACAGAAAGAGGCTGGCAAAAGCAGAGCAGACCCGCTGGGACTCCCCTGCCTCAGCCCAGAGCCATCCAGGACAGGGCTCTCTCTGGAGCGGTGTTTCTGAACAGAGGGGAGCCATGCACCAGGAAAACGCAAGCAGAGCTGAGGAGGAGCCGAGAAACACTTGGACAGAGAGAAATCATTGCCCTAACAAGAGCTATTCGCTGATCACCCCACTCATCTGATGCTCTCCAGTGCTGCCTGCCACCCTGCCTTTATCCAGTCATTTGTTAGTGCCTTGTGTCATCAAGCTGGATACATCAGCAAAATGCTCAGTGAGGCACTTCAGGACACTCAGAAATAACATAGGGCTTGGAAATAGACTGATTAGCAATCCCCTGTATACTTTTGGATGAGCGTGGACCAAATTCCTATTTTATTGCTCTCAGTCTGTATTGCAGGCATTGCTCATGGAGGAGAAGGCCAGACCATCATTACCACTAATGATTTAGCTGCTGGGAGTCTGGTAGGTGCTTAGCAGAAAGATTAAGGCAAGGTCGCTTCCCAAATGTCCCTTAGTTTAAACACATGCTCCATTGTGGTCTCCAGCTCTGCTGCAAATGGCTGTGGCTGAATTGCACTGGCACAGCATGCTCCACTGCCACCCTGCTGCTGGCCTCCAGGCCTGCTCTGAACAAGGGTGAGAGGGATTTATGGGGACCCGAGGCACTTTCTGAGTAAAATCATGCTTTTTTCCCCCTTTTTGCTTTCAAAGATGAACCTTTCCCATTGCTGCCTCAGAGTATGTAATGCAGTCATAACCTTGTCTGCAGCATGCAGCCAGCTGACGCACTCACCATGAGGGATTTGCCTCCAGAGAGGAGCTGTGCAGACAGAGGATGTGAGCATGAAAAGGTCTCCTTCTAGGTTAATGACAGATTCGGTACTGGTGGAAAGTTCAGACACACAATAATGGCAGGATTTTCCAGAGCAGGAGGTTTATCACAAGGCAACAAAACATGTGTCTTTTGCAGCCCGTGCTGAGGTTTGACCCAGCTGGAAAGGAGAGCTTTCATGTTTCAGGCCCTCAGCGGGAATACAGAACCAGCAGGTTTCCAGTTTCCCACAGATCTCCCTGGTGACTTGTTGCCTTTATTTTCCTTAGAGACCTAGGAAGGGCTCAGCCCTCAATTCTCCCAGCTTTACACCAGTCAGGGTTGGACCCATGGCTGGTAAGGGAAAATGAATCTCCAGCTCTGTGGTGCGGGAAGTTCGGCACATGCTGGTCAGATGTGGTCAGATGAAGTGGTCAGATGAAGAAGCAAGCATCTGACTGATGCCCTGCAGGGACAGCACAGACACATTCCCTGGGGTATAGAGAAGGGAGGAAGCAAGTCCCCTTTGAACTCCAGCTCACTACACCACCTGTCTCCCAACCACACCTGTCCCTCGTAA